AGCGCGAGCAAAGCAAGAGAAAAAGATGTGCTAAATGTGGAAATTAAAGCCAAAACCTCCAGAACGGTTTGTATTGGAGCGTGTAGTTTTGACCCACTGAAAACTTCCTGTGCATATAAACCGGCTTTTTCAAAACTGTCAGAGAACTGCAACTTAAGAAATATTGGCACAAAGAAATTTAGCTCCAGTGCTTTTCTGCTTTTGCATGTGGTTTTTTATTGCTCATTAAAAGCACTTGTGCTTCGTCAGCTAAAAGCTGAAAAAATTGTTATTTTTGCTTCGTACGCCCGCTCTGCAGTATTAAAAACTTTGCAAGCAACCAGTTCGTTAAAAACTGAAGAAGCTCACATCACTTTTTGCTTTATCTTATAATTACTTCAAAACAATATCGTTCTTATAGAACGAACGCTTCGATAAAAATAATAAAAACTCATTTATTATAGCTGTCCTTGACGAATGTTCGTGAAAAGAGACAGTAGTTTCTGCTGCTTACAAGCTGGGTTGGGTTCCTTCGAGAGCCGTATAGATTCCTCAAAAATTGCTTCAAATAGCAGTTGGTAGAGTGATTAACCGATGCACATATGCATGTTGGCTAACTGGTTAATTTACTAATCGTTCTGGATATTTATTTATTTATCTATCTGCATACTTCTTAATAAATTAACAAATAAGATCAAAAATGTAATAATTATGATTCAAACTAAAGATATCAATAGGTAAGTTTCATAAAACATCGCCGCCAGTTTTCACTAAACATAGACAAATGCGAACAAACACATCTGAGAAAACTGCTTTATCATCGTTCGATGACAAGCAAAGCACCGGGCAAAAATCAGAACAAAATTCAAAATCAGAAATCAAAAAATATTTGATAAACCGAGCTTGAATATGCACGTTGTAATTCGTGCTTATTTGCTCACTCTATTTGTAGCTATTAAGTTGAAAAAAAAAAAAATAATTAAAATGCATGTATGACCGAAATGTATAAACTGACATTGCGCTTCAAACTTTCAGATCACTCTCGAAGACTGCTCAGCCAGGCGGCAATCTGTATTCTATACCGACGCTAGGATCTCCATCAATGCTACGCAACCAGTAGCTGTAATAGCACATGACTTCCTTTCGAATACTGCGGACGATAGCCCCACATGTTCGTTTTGCTGATTTTCAAGGATACTGTAGAAGCTTTTAACACTGTTGTTAAAAAACAAATTTGTATAAAAAAACCAGCCTTTAAAAATGGTTTTAAGACTTCCTTTTCTTTTCCACTCATCACGTCTCCCTTCTTCCTTACAGTGTCTAGGCAACCGTTAAAGGACATACGCCAAGTAACCATTCAATACACCCACCCAACTCCTTCCCCGTGTCGCGAATCCCACAAGCTAAAAACGTGCTCAGACGTTGCCAACCCCTCCCTCTCTCCACCTCTGTGCCTTCTGCAGTCCACCACTCTCAAAAAAAAATCGCTTCTGTACCTTGCGTATCCGTAGCAAGAACCAGCAGCACGGTCTTCCACCTTTCCGCCTATCACCCTCCTACTGCTTCCTCCCTCTCCGTTACCTACCAAGGCAACCGCCAAAGGATTCATGCCATGTATCCACTCAATCCACCCACGAGCCTGAGACCTATACAAACCCCTCCCCACCTACAACATTCAACGTCCTTTGCCGCTGTGGGGATTAGGACAATCAAAGAAATCTTTCGCAGACCGTGTATGCCGCCAGTCGAACCGAATAGAGTTGAGTTGAGGAATATTAGTTGCCACCTTAACGATGTAGGAGTTGGAAAATATTAGTTGCCACCGGCTGTTTGTTACAAATATGCCAGAAGAAGAGGATTACGAAATCCGCAAAATGTACTCACTTTTGGGTTTAAATAAAATTGATTGCTTGTTATATCTGGATGCGGGGGATTTCACCTCCAAGTTGAATTAATACCGCACATGAATATGGAGTGTCTTACCAAATTGTCAGCTTCGCAACTTGTCTGGTAAACAAAATCGCCTGTTCGCTGCAAATGCCTCTGATGTTCCTAAAGGTGTAGCCTGGGCTCAGTTCAAATTCCACTTAGGTATACGATTTTCCAGATAGGCGATAAATATTGTGACACAATTTCAGCTGCTGTTCTAAGGCTAGTTTTCGAGTTGACAGAGTGCCAACTTCGAATTTTGACGTGATCGTGCGCGTTGTACAAGCGTGTGGAGTAGCTAGGTTTGAAGTCTTTAGCTGGTAAATGCGCAGAGAATATTCCTGCAAAGTTTCAGCTTTATTTGTGATTCCCTATACAGCAATAATTGATCGGGATAGTGTACAAACACTTTTATACTGAACTAGCAGTAAAGCTATGTAGCAATCTTTGAATTCTCATCTTTCCCAATGCTGTCCTTGTATTTTTAAATAATGGTTGAATATATCAGGATAGATTTGCTACCCATTCAAAAGAATATCAAATTTCAGCTGCACAGTCAACGACGACAGTGCAAACGACTGCACCAACCATGGTATCCAGAACGACGTCAACTTTAGCATCAACAACTGCGTCAGCCAAGATATCCGCAGCAGTGCCAACTTCAGCGTCGACAGCCGCATCAGCCGTGGTATCTACTGCACCACTGAATTTAACATCGACAACTGCATCAGCCACAGTATCCACGACGGTGCCAGCTTTAAAATCGACGACTGAGCCAGTTCAGCCGCCGACAAAGGCACCAATTGTTCTACCGGATTCTTATGGTACCGAGTTTTTGACAATGTTTCCGTGGAATAACGGCAATGACACTGAGCCGCCAATCACTTCCATGGATATTATCAATATGAATGAGGAAGTAGCTACTGTCCTAATACAATACCCAGAATTCGAGTACGATAATGAGACAAGGAGCGTGACCAGATTGTGGTTGAAAACAACAGTTAACGTGTCATCAAAGAGCAGCTACAGGGTTAGCCTTCATTTTTGCATTGCAAGATAATCCTTTATATAAAAGTGACTGTATTAAGAATTGCTTTACATAAGAAAGTTTTTCATTAAGATGAATTACAATGAACCTGTGTAACGGACACTTAGTGCCATGCGCCACGAGTTTAACCTTAGCATGCATTTTTTGCACAGCTTTTTTTGAAAGATACCCGGTGTTAAGGAAGTTTAAGCGTAAATTCAGTTTAAGGGCGCTCCGAGCGCGCTTTTTACTTTCAGGATTTTTCCATAACTCATGTTTTCTTTGCTATCTCAACACCCGCATAGTGATCAGATGCGGTTGATTTAAAGGCGGATTATTCATCAAATGTGTATCCTAATCAGAGGTCAAAAACGGATTTCAGGGAAGATAAACAAACAGTTTTAAACTTCTATTTTATATTACGTAAGGATGCTAGTACCATCTAATAATCAGTTTGAGGATGTGTGCTCCCACACTTCGCGCGTTGATATGCAAGAAGCGTAGATAACTAAGCAGTCTAGCTTGACAGTAAATAGATGATTAAAAGTAAGCGACATATGTAGGCAGACATTCTGAACAAAAAAATGTGGAACGGCGCCTACGTTGTTAATACATTTGTATTCTTACCAAAGGTTTAGGCAAAAAACTTTACTCGCTTCTTCGTAATGAGCGAAGTTCTTGCTTGCAATTCGACGTTCTTGCTGAAAGAGCTTGAAGAAGAGCGTTCATTCCTTCTTTCTGCTTAATGCCATGTTTAAATTGTTACGCGTTTTTATTATTATTTGCTCAAAATAAGTTCAGCGATCGAAATTCAAAGCCTAATTCAAACTACGAGCAATGTATATTTTTCAGCCGCTTGGGTCTTCTCTGTAAAAAGATTTGAGCTCAAACTTGTTGACATTGGCTGAATTTTTTGTTAGGTTACAACATATAATACGAAATATACAACACAAAACAGCATTTCAACTTCTACACTCGTAGGACAATTAGCAAAGATATGCGATTGAACAAAAGCAAGAAATTGTCGGGAGTTAACCGCTGCGATAACTAGTGAACATACTGTACATGTTAAAGGATCCTTCAATGCGTTATCACAGCAGTCAACTTCAAGTGATACTCAAGCATCTTCTAGCTATTTGTTTTCAGATGCTATTCAACAACAGCATACTTCCGGACAATTCGCTGGATAGCCGCATAAGCATTAGTTCATCAGTACCAATTTCAGTTGTACAACACGACTACATGCCAAACGGTGTTGGCGATAGCTTCACAGGTGCAGGACTTACAAAATCATATGTCGCATAGTTGCTCTGATACAGGTTTTAGTAAGAGCGTAGGGTAGATACATATATTTTCTTAGTAATTTTTCGCTCCAAAAAGCGTTAAAAAGGACTCCGGGAGAATCATCAATTCTTCATGCCAGAATGCTCTGCTGGACTGCATACACGAATGGCCCATTCGTGGCGTTTTCGATCCAAATGCATCCCATTCGATCTGTGTGCTTGCAGTTATGCTGAAAAGTGATTTATTGCCTCCCACTATATTCTTTATGAATTGGAACATCAACAGTGGCGCGCTTCACTGATACCGGACGTCGTCACGCATATTTGCTCAAACCGAAGCGCATAACTGTAATAGTATGAATGGCCATTGCTTTACAGTTCAACATATTCACACGTAGTGACGGTGTTTTGGGTCATTTGCTGTACGTAGTAGGAGGGAAACGGTGGAGTTGCATTTTAGGCCGGTTTAATATTTCAGTCTCTAATGTGCATGATTACAGTGAAGAAAGGTTGTTGAAAGATCTGCATTCTCAAGTTTGTCATGTACGAACATGAGCGCAGACATATGTGAAAGGTGATGTATGGTTTTAATACCGAATAAACAAATACAATATCTCTCGCTAAATTTATGCTTTCTTGCCCATTTGATCACTGTGGAAGAAGGATACGAAAGCGCTGCAATTTGAACATATGACGAGTCTATTCGTAGAGTACGGAACCTCACGATAAATTTGGAAGCTCGCTTAGATAGTTAACGCTCGCACAAGACTGAAGCTCCCCATTCACTCTAGTTGTAGAGTTAAATCGGTGCCGAAATTATCTAAAATTGAATTTCACTTGCGCTTAGTGGAGGGCTAAGTGCGCGGCAAAACGAATATGAATGTATTGTGCATTAAACTGTGCGGATTTACCTAAAATAACAAGGCAATCTTCATTGCTCAGAGCTGAAAGCCCGTCATTCTCTGGTCCAAGCCTCTGCTCCAGTAACAAAAAGGTTTGTTACTGGAGCAGAAGCCGACATCAGAAAACGACGGACTTTCAGCTTTTTAACGAGGCATCGATCTTAAGCTGTATCTTGTTTATCTCAGTTCCAAGAATCCAAGCAGTTTTTTGACGATAGATTTCGAAAGTAAATAAAAAAAACGTCTATTTCATTTTTCAGTGTTACCGGTAGCAGCAGCAGGTACTAGATATTCACTAGTGCTGCCGCATGCTGGAGCGGGTGGCGTTGGCACTGTGTACGTCCTTGGTCTTAAAGAATATGCGTTCTTCGAGGTGTATATATATAAAGATAATGGTGAACTCGTAACTCAGTATGACAGTGTCGTAAGTTTTTATGCGTTTTTGCACGTTTTTGCAAATGCAACCCAGGCTGCAACGCGCTGGGCTTGCCGATTCGATCATGCATTTTTGCACTGAACTTGAAGCAGCCAGATCTTTAACAGCAGGCATCGTTCTTGCGTTTTATTTAACACGTCGACTTACGCTGGTTTTGTTTTGGCCATTCCTGTTTGTAAGAGGAAATAATAGACCACAAGACTGTACGCAAGCCATGTTTATGGTGTTATTTATGGAGCAAATTGCCTTTATCTTTCAGATGTAGTGGGGTGATATTTTTCAATGCAGTCTGTATTTCATCCCTTAGCTGTAAACACAGACCGGGCTATGCATGCGGGTAGGAGTGGGAATCGTCAGTAC